AAATCTAAATCAACAAATACATAAAATTGAATCAAATAAGGGTTTCCTTTATCAAAGCTACGATCATTGAATAAATCTTGCACTGTGGTACATCTCTCGCACACATCGTTCATCGTTGGACTATAAAGCCTTTTCGGAGAGACGGTCTAACGATTTGTTTTAGCCGTAAGGATGATTTTCATTTGATTCACTTGAACGCCTTTGAAAATTGACAACCGTTGCGATCCCGAAAAACTCTTTACCAACGAACTGATAATAGGGAAAAAGATGATTACCTTTTTAATAAACCCTAACACACAAAATGAACCCTAAACAAAAACTAATGACTCCACCATAAGGAGACACTCCACCATAAGAAGACGGACGAATATCTTCACTACTCGTGTAGATTTATTGAAAACTAAATTGCAAAACTAAAGAAAATTAAAGGAAAAGGGTATGAAACAGTCTAATTTCTTCTAAACAGCCAAGAATTTGGAGAAACCCTAGAAGAGAGGAGAGGCGAGAGTTTGGTTTATTTCGATTTACTCATATTTCAATTTAACATCTATGTCGTCTTTACTAATTTTTATTTTTTTTAAAAAAAAATACATCTCATAAAAGATTATTCACTACAAGAAAACAGTTGGATTCTGACGGAATTTTCCGTCGGAAACATAGAAAATTCCGTCGGAATCAGGCTTTCCGACGGAATTCCGTCGGAGTTAGTCTGTCGTAACAGCCTTTGTCGGAAATTCGACCTTTTCCGGCGGAAATTCCGTCGGAAGACGTTATTCCGACGGATTTTTCGACGGATCTAATTATGTCGGCGCTGTTTTTGACTTTATTTGAAATTCCGTCGCAAATTTCCGACATAAATTTCCGTCGGAGGTGGGTAGGTTTCCGACGGAATTTTTTGTCGGAAATGATATATTTCGACGGAAAAGTTAATAAAAAAAACAAAAAAAAACAGAGTAGCCCCACCCCACCCCCTTGCCCCCTAACCACCCTCACGCACCACCCCTACCAGCCCCTGCCCCAGCCCCTGCCCCTTTGCTCCGCCCCCTAACCACCCTTACGCACCACCCCTACCAGCCCCTGCCCCCTGTCCCCTACCCCCCGCCCCAGCCCCTGCCCCCTGCCCCCTAACTACCCTCACGCACCACCCCTACCAGCCCCAACCACGCAACACCACCGAAACGACCCACACCCAAACCCTCTAGCCCACCACCGTACACCACCACCTATCCCACCTTCATACACCACCACCAACCCACACCCAAACACACTACCGTACACAACCAAATCGCAACCCACCTAACCACCGAAACCCACCTCACCACTCGAAACAACCACTGAAAAAAAAAAACATAAAAAAAATCCATACTTCAACAACACCATATATTTCAAAAAATCCAGAAAATTCAACCATACCTTAATTTGACAAAAAAAAAAAAAAACGTCGAAATTGGGTTTATAAGGTCAAATTCGACCATGAAAACTCTATATCTAGAGTTTTCATGGTCGAATTTAACATGAAAACCTTGATTTTCATGAGTTGCCATTGAATATCTTGAAATAACCTTGAGTTGGCAAAGAAAACGAAACAAAAAAAAAGAAAGAGGGGAAGAGGAGAGGAAGGAGAAAGAAGGGAAGAGGAAGGATGTGTGCGCTGAGGAAGGAGAAGGGAGGAAAGGAAGGAGAAAGAGGGGAAGAGGAAAGAAGAGAGGAGAGAGAAAGAGAAGGGAGGCGGGGAGAGAGAAAGGAGTGTGGGTTTTTAGGGTTTTTTTATGTTTTAAAGAGGTTTTTTTTATTATTTAATTAATTTCCGACGGAATATTCCGTCGGAAATTTCCGATGGATTTTTATTCTGTCGGAAATTTAACGTTTCGACGGAATATTCCGACGGATTTTTTTCCGTCAGAATATAAATTTTCCGACAGAATATTCCGTCGGAATGCCCATATATTCCGACGGATTTTTATTCCGTACAAATTCCGTCGGAATATTCCGACGGAATATAAATCCGCCGGAATATATGGGATTTCCGACGGAATTTTGTGTCCGTCGGAATCTACCCTTTTTCTTGTAGTGATTAATGGTTAAATTACAAAAAGATTTAACAAAAAATTAATTCAATTACTATTGCTTGCTTCATAAGATTTCAAATCAAAACCATGAATAAAAATGTTTTTTCCACCCCTTCTACAACTATAATAAAATTTCTAACGTCAAATTTGTATGTATGTCTTATGCTTTCTACCATTTTTCCCAACATTAAAATTTCTAAACTATAGTTTACTTCTCCCTTAACTATAAGATCTCAAAATATCGTGTGAAAGTGATTAAAGACTTATTATAAATAAAAATCAAGATATTAGTCAAACAACATACTAAAAAAACTTCGGTAAAACTATAACTCAACATGTGTGTAAAAATATTAATTACAAATAATAAATCACCTTTACATCTAACATAACCACTCCAATTAAAATAAATAATACTCTAATTATTAAAGAAAGAACAATCCATAATTGGGTAATAATTATGGCTTGTGTTGTTATATTTTTTGTTTTATGGATGGGTGATCGATATATGTGATATTATAGTTTTTTTGTTACTATAAATAAAATGTGTTTGAAGCCACCCAATAATTGTGATTTGATTATTTTTATTTACAGCCTTAAAAATTTATATATGGGATTCACCAAAAAAAAAAGGCATGCATCAAGAGATGCCACTTGTCACTATGTCAAGTATGTCTTATATATATATATATATATATATATATATATATATATATATATATATATATATATATATATATATATATATATATATATATGTGTGTGTGTGTGTGTGTGTGTGTGTGTATTTATGTAGTTATTTATGAATGTCAAAAATAATATATCACCTCAAGAAGTGTCTCAGGACTCCCAGCAAAAGTCAATATTAGTTTTATGTGTATGTACTAAAACATTAATTTTTTTATTTACGTATTTTCAAACTTTGATTGAGATTTTACATTTTCTTAAAATTTAACATATGATATAAGTTATCGAACATAATTAGTTTTAATATTGAATCATATTACCCTGATTGGAAAGAATGAAGATGGCCAAACAGAAAGGAATATATTTATAAAAAATGTTTAGAATAATATAATGATATACTAACATTTCAAAAAAGATAAGCAATAAAATAGTGTGTTCTAGAAGAAAAATACACCAAAAAATAACATGTATCTTTCTAATTGTTTGTTTTAATTATTTATAAAGCCAAAATAATATGCCTCAAATCATCAATCTATGCATCACAAAATCAAGTTGGAGATTTTAATGATTCCTAATCATCAAATTCACTCCTTACTTTAATTGATTTTAAAAAAGTGTCAGTGTTTCTGCACTTGTTTTTTCAATTTATTTTCAACTTCCTTAACAACTTTCCCCAGAAAAAAAAGTCTATTGCTGCCTATCTCTATTTTTAAAAGGATCTTTGAAGAGTATTATGGCCATACATCCCAATGATGCAAAGTATATTTATTTATTTTTATTTTTTTAAGGGTTGTACAAGTATTTCTTGGCATTTTTCATTTCTCCATTTACCTGATTAATTATCAAGATTAAACCTGTACTAATTTATATAAGTTGACTTTATGTTTGAAATAAGTACAAAATGAAAGATTATAATTAATGTTTACATTGTAAAAAAAAAAAAAGAATAAAAAAAAAAAAGAATTGAAGAAACGCTAATTGACAATTAGAAATTAGACGTGCAACATTTGGTTCTAACAGAAATTTGGGTCAGGACTAGATAAAAATGAAAATGAATTAAGAGATGTTATTCTATTTATCTTATAAGGTTTTAATTTATAATTATATACATTCTTTGTATGGTGGATGTTGAAATCTAGTTCTTATAGTTACAATTGTAATTAAAACACATTTAGGGGTTTTTAAAATTAAGTGGCCTTATTTTTTTTTACGATGACTGACAATTTCTTAATGATGAAAAATAAAAGCTAAGTCCCCAAATGATGAAAAGTATAAAATGTGTGGTCCTTTTTCTGTGTGGTCGAGGTTACTTATTTTTACTCGGTTGGTTAACGCGTTTTCGCCGGGTTACTTATTCGGGGATTACCTAGTTGGTCAAGGGTTACTTATTCTGGTGTTACTCAGTCAATTAGCGCGTTTTCTGTGTGAGAGTAAACCCTGACCAACCGAGTAATCCCAGAATAAGTAACCCCTGACTAACTGACCGAGTAATCCCTAAATAAGTAACCCTTGACTGACTGACCGAGTAATACCTGAATAAGTAACCCCTAACTAACCGAGTAACCCCTGACCGACTGAGTAACCCCTGAATAAGTAACCCTAGAATAAGTAAATCCGGCCACGGTGTGACCAACCATATATAAAAATCTGTGTAATATGTGTGTCCTTAAAAATGCATTCTACTCTTTAATTACGTGATAAATAGGAATTTCTTCATAAAAAATCAAACCAAAATTTCTAGATAATTTCAAATCAAGTCTAATAAGTTCCAATGAATAGACTCCGTAAGGTAAAAAGAATGTGACTCGATGACACAAGTCGAGGGGAATTGGGGAAACTTGTGAGCATAGGAATTTACTGAAATATGGAGTAAAATAGTACTCGTAATATAATACATCGTAAGTTGTACTTCCTTCGTTTTTTTAGTTGCAATTTTTGAAGAGGAGAGAGATAGAGAGAAAAATAAAAGGGACCCATGTGGGTAGAAGAGATATAAGAGAGAAAAAATGTTTAAAATGAAAAGTATTGCAAGTAATTAACAATTTTCAAAATAAGAAAATGTTGTACTCCTTTCGTCCCATAATATAATTATAGTTTGTGTTTTTTCATGGTATCCAAGAAATAGGAGGAGAAAGTGGATGAAATACATTAATAAAAGTGAAAAGTACAATTATGGACAAAAGTTAGAGAGAGAAAATAGAAAAAAGTACAAGATATGTGCAAAATTCAAGGGTAATTTCAGAAGTACAATGAATAAAGTTAAAAAAGTGAGGGTATAATGGTCTTTACATACTATAAAAAAATAGAAATAGAAACAACATTTTGAATCTACAAAATAGGAAAATAGGAACTATATTATAAAATGGAGGGAGTAACTAAAAAAAAATAGATAGAAGTAAAATAAAAGGAAAGTTTATAAAGCGCAGAATGACGCATTCACCCTCGAATTCCATTCCTTTCCTTAATTTCAGTTTCACTTCTCCCAGAAACCAACACCAAAAACAACCAACCCAATACAAACTCACAACTCCCACCTTCTCCTCTCTCTCTCCTAGTCTCCTCCCTCACCTCTCCAAATCATCCATCATTCTCCTCACTCAAATCAAACTCCCCCAAAAATTACTCCACCAAATTCAAATTCAAATTCAAATTCCAACCTATGAAAAAACACCACCACCGTGAACACCACCACATCTCCGCCGTATTCTTCTTCCTCCTCCTCCTCCATGTCCACCCTTCAACCTCAGATCCAAGCGACGAAGCTTGTCTATCCCAACTCTTCACCTCCTTCCAAGACCCGGCCCATAATCTCAAAAACTGGACCCAGCCCAACTTCGCCAACCCATGTAACGGCTTCGACTCTCACCTTCAAGGCGCCACTTGTAACAACGGCCGCATCTTTCGCCTTTCTCTCTCCTCCCTCTCACTCCAAGGTACCATCTCTTCTTCTCTCTCTAAATGCACTAATCTCCAAACCCTCGACCTCTCCTCCAACTCTCTCTCCGGCGAGATCCCTTCCGAGCTAAAAGACCTTTCTAACCTCGCCGTCCTCAATCTCTCCGGTAACCGTCTCTCCGGTCAGATCCCTCCCTCACTCTACCTCTGCGCTTACCTTAATGTCATCGACTTACATGGGAACCAGCTAGTGGGGCCCATCCCTCAGCAATTGGGTCTCCTTGTACGACTCAACACATTCGATGTGTCGTATAATAAGTTGTCCGGGGTGATTCCGCCGTCGATTGGGAATCGGAGTGGGACGTTGCCGAGGTTTAATGCGACGTCGTTTCAAGGGAATAAGGATTTGTACGGATACCCGTTAGAACCGTACAAAAATAGAGGGTTGTCTGTGATGGCGATAGTTGGAATTGGGCTTGGAAGTGGGCTTTTGAGTTTGATTGTTAGTTTTACAGTTGTTTGTATTTGGTTAAAGGTTTCTGAACAGAAGATGGCTGCTGCTGAAGAAGGCAAGATTAGCCACCATATGCCTGATTATTGATTTCTTTTCTTTTTTTTTTTTTTAATTTTAATTTTTGGGTTTTTTTTTTCTTCTCTAATTTAATTTTATTTGCTGGGAAAATTGTTAGTATAAGATAAATATAGGTTGTTTAGTTGACATTTTTCCAGTTTGTATGAATTTGATCTTAGTCGCTACTGATCTTGATTTTCAGAGGGAGGGGAATTGAATTATGGTTGTGTTGGTTGATTTGACTTTTTTTTTTTGGGTGGTTTTTCAAAATTTTGTTTTTGTTTTTTAGTTCGGAATTCGACAATGTACAAAGAAACGAATTGAACATGTGAGAGATTCATAAAATAGTACCCGTATATACGAGTTTATGTTGAATGCCTTCAATTACTATTATTATTACTATTATTTTTTTTTTTCGGTATTATTATCGTCCTGTATGGTAAAAATAAAATAAAATTGTGTGTTTCGTAATTTACGGCCTTGTTTGACAATTACCGTCGTAAATTACCTAATGTAATGGACATTCTTTTTGCCTTCCTTATAATTGTTGGGATTATTAGTTGATTTAATTGCCGATTGTGCTTAGTAGGTTGTCATGTTTTCCACCAAGATGATTATCTTTATCGAATTTAATTAAATTGTCTAAAATTATACAGTATTATCGAATTTGTCATGTACAGTACTATGTAAATGTTCTTATCACGATATTATTTGAGTATTAGTGAAATAAAGCCTATTTTGGCGATTGAATTTCAAAAAGTTAAGTACGAGTCAATGAGTTTTGATGGATTTCAGGCAATTGGCGGGCCTTGAAGTTTCCAAATACGAGTACGGTTTGGTCATGGAAGTTTGATGAGAATCATAAATTGTTGAGATAGGATCATAGGAAGGCAAAGGACCACTCTACTATAGTTGAATACTTGAGCCAAAAGTTGTCATTTTCTGAGTGGGAAATTACGCAGGCTATGGAGAAAGTGACCGAAAGTTTCGTTGTTACTGTAATGCTTTAGTGGGTGATATCATTGGTATGTTGCCATTCTGCTGGTATTTTTAGTAACGCTAATAATTATTCCACAGGGTCTTGTCCCTAAATAACTCGAAGAATCGATTACAACTTGTTCGTGAAAACACACATCAAATTAACCTTATAACAAAAATAAGTAGTTTCTGAAATATGGTAAAGATGACGTAACAACAATCTTGATACACTAAACAACGTAAACTAACTAGTAGATTAGAGTGCCTTTTAAAAGGAAGGAGTATTTCAGTGCGTGGAGTGGCTCTTCGGATTGTCTGGTAGTTAAGTGTGGCAAGAAGGTTTTGGTAAATGCGAATATGGGGGTGGTGGGAGACCAAGACCCTTTGGAATGGGGAGGAAACACTTTTGTTTTTGTATGGGTTTCTTGAGATTCCATGGACGTGCTTTTATCCAAAAACATTCTCAAGGAGTATATTGCAGGTACTGTAGTATAATACTAGTAGTTTGACCCACCTATCTACAGTACTCTTGTATTTTTTTAAGAAATATTTTCAAGTTTTCCACTGTACTATTTTATTGATTTCTTCTTTCCATTGCTCACTTAAATCCTCCCCTTTTCCCCTCTTTAGCAAACATGTACGTGACCTAGCTGCTGCTTGTTGGGTATAAACTATAAACACACATGAAAATTCGCTGTGTGCACAATAAGTTAATGAGCTATTTTTTTTATTTTTATTTTTTTGTTTTTTTTTTTGACAAGGAGAACTAAAAACTAACACACACAAACACCTAAAAGGACCAAGAAAGAAACTGGGGATGATGAGACCAAACTGCCAGCCAATGAGCCGGAGAAATCCACGAGCAAGGAACCTGCAAGCCGACAGTTCTTGAAGAACTTCCCTAATCTCCGTTAACAACCAAACACAAGAAATATCATCCGAACACAAATGACCAAGAAGAGAAGTCAACTGCACACAATCCGTATAAATAAGGAGCCGAACAAAACCCCTATGACATGCAGCATGTAAGGCCTATAAGCAAGCTTGAAGCACAGAAGACGTCCGACAAGCCCTCGAGCCACCTCCCAAAATCCGCTCCTAATCAATTTCCCTAAAAACCCAACCCGTTCCCGCTGTATTATCTTGAACATTCCAAGCTCCATCCAACAAAAGACAGAAATCCTAAGTATCCGTTGTAGACCCTTTCAGGCAACCTGAGCGAGACGACCTAAAAGAAGAGAGCCAAGATACACGAAGAGGATGTTGTTGAGAGAAAGTAGAAGCCGCAGTACCCCTAGTAACCCATTCACTAGTAAGGTGAAATATTGTTGCCGGAGAATAGACCGCGTGATGAAACACCTTGTGATTGCGAGATAACCAAATAGCCCACATGAAGGAGATAAAAAACAACAAACCATTCCAATCCCGCAAAATTCTGTAGGCACCAACCTTATCCGTAAACCACAGTGAAAACGGACTATCCTGCAATAAGGAGGCCCGAGTCAAGGCAAAAGGGCCACTGAGTAGTAAACCAGACACAAACGGACAATCTCGAAATACATGAGATGTTGTCTCGCAACTCTGATGGCAAAAGACACAAGTGGGATTGATAGGCATCCCCCGGCGAAGAAGAGACTCTGATAAAGGTAGAGCATCATGCAGCAACTTCCAAACAAAGACTTTCAATCTGGGGAGAATAGGAAGACCCCAAAATTGCCTCCACCATAAGGAAGGAGCTGGTTCGCTGACCACAGAAGCCATCGAATGACGAACCAGCATTGCATATGTAATCCTGAACTTTATTAAATTAATAAGCACTAATCTAATTTAAATTCTCTTTTTCTATACACCAACACGTTTTATCAATGGTGTTATAATAATAGTAGCCCAATTTCAAGTGATCTAAGCCTACCTCTTTTTAACCATCCAATTGTGGCCCAAATAGTTGTCTTAATTCCATTAGGATTAAGAACCCTTTTATTAAAAAGTCTTGCACCTTATTTCCCCTTCTTTTATTCACGTAATTCCCTCCTCCTATTTTTTTTTCCCTTACTGCTTCAGTATTTCACGAGCATTCAAAAAAAAAAATTGTGCAGCTGCCGCCGTCGACAGGCCACCACTGGCGCCTACCCGCTGCTCCGACGACCACCGCAGCTCACCCACGACCACCAGTCTGCCCCCTTCTCTCTCCTTTCTTTTTTTTTTCTCTCTTTTGTTAATTTAATTCAAGTTTTAATCTTTATTAAATTTTGTTCTTAAATTGTTATTATTATGATTTGTATATGCATATGAGTTGCAAAAGATTATAAATTTTTGAATTTTACCATGTTTAATTTGATGACAAAAAATTCAGATTTAGTTTAATTGAGAATTAAGGGTTTAAATGTTGATTTTTCATGGTTTTAGGGTTTAAAACATGTTAATTAAGTTATCTAATTATATTATGTGTAAATTATGTTTAAATTCAATTATCTTGATTATAAATTAATTTTCAGATTTGAAATATGTTTATTTTAGGGTTTAAGTTGTGAAATTTGGAGGTTTGATTAATTTTTTATGAAACTAATTGAATTCTAATTATATATTTCAACCTTAGATTGTTGTATTCATACATTCTATTATTAAATTAAATTTCCAGATTTTTAGTTTTGGTTTTAAGGGTTTTAAATCATGGTTTTACGATGGATTTTTAGGTTTTTGACCTACTAACCTACTACATAATGATTATTTCAAGTAGAGATGTCTATGAGGTTGATTTATAATCTTGAACTAAAATTTCAGATTATATTCCTTACTTTAAAGTTGCTGCAATTTCATGTTATAAGCTATATTTTCATGACTTTAACATATAAGTTTATAGTTGAACTATTTAATTATTAACTTTGACAATTGTGAATAATTTAAAGGCATTATTTCAATGGTTTAAGGGGTTTTAAAGTAGTTTGGTATTGTTGTAAATTATATTGCTTGGGTATTGATTGAATTATTGTTGTTTGGTTTAGGAGAGGACTTCGTAGAGGGCGATTTCTAGTTCCTAAAGTGGCCAACCAACTCGTTTACTCAAGGTACGTACAAGGATACGAAAAACCTTGACTTTAGAATCATGTTTAAGGACTTGGAAAATTTAGAATCATGTTAGGAAACTCGTGGATTGATTGAAATTGTATGGTAGTGAGTTTGATCGGTGATTAATGTGATGATTGGTTTTGATTCATGTATGAGAAATGCGTATTGATTTATCTTGTAAGTATTAATTATGCATTAACTTGCAAGATGAGCTAAGAGGTAAAGGTACATAAATATGTGGAATGAATTATCTTTTTACTCGTTCATGTTTATGAAATGGAATGAGTAAAGGGAGAATTAAAGTCTTATAAAACGAGTTTGAGGAATTGAGGTGCCTTATGCACTTAAGGTGTTTATACACCGAGGTAGTTAAAGGATTCAATAATAAAATTTGTTGTCACTAATAAATCTAGAATTGAATTGGAAATTTGAATTGCTTTAATGATTAATGTTTGATTGGTTGCATTGTTTTGCATTTGAGTCATCACGTAGTTAAAACTTGTAAATCACGTAAAGTGCAAGATGGATGAGCAATAAAACTCTGGATCTGTGCACATCTAGAGTAATGACAAACGGGGGTTGGGGTACACGGGGTATTAGCCGTGCACTTTTCTAGAGGCCGTCTGATCTATGAGTCTCTTGTTTTCAAATACTTTTTAAAACTATAAGGAGTTAGATGAGATCTCATACTAGCTATGGACACGGAGTCGCGCCCGTTTGACATTGGATGTTTATCGATGTTTTCGAGATGAGGCATGGCCGCATGGGGTTTTTCTTTTATTGATGTTCCGAATTGGAGCATGGGGAGACAACCTTGTCTATTTCTTAATCCAATATAAAAAAAAATGATATGAAATAATCAGAGCCAATTAGGGAAGTATTAGTAATATTAACAGTTGAGTCATGTATTTGAGTCAATTATTAAATCATTGTTTGTTGATTTTAATTAGTAGGATGTTAGGAATTCTTTGTTATTCTTCGTAGCTTGTATGTACTTAGTGTTGCTGATTGCGTGCTATTGTATATCTTTTCTTGGTCATGGCCTTCGCCTTTCAATGACTCTGTAATGATTTAATTTTTACACTTGTAATATTGGGGAGCAGATTAATCACAGGTATTTACATAGTCTGGTCTTGCATCAAGGTGGCGGGATTTTGAGTAGGGTGTTGGTTATTGTTCACAATTTTTTCATTTCATAAGTTTGAATTTATTTAAACTCTGGTTTGATTTATTTACCACTTTTGTTGGGTTTTGAATAAGGACCTTAATGGTTACAACTTGTAAGACTTAATTTGGTTTTGTTCATTGGTTTTGAAACTTATTTATAACTGAGTTG